ATGACACGTGTTATGTTTCAATTAATATGGACGACAAATCTGGCAAAAATTTTAACGATACTCAATGATTTAAATCTTTGAATATAAATTGGTGTTTATATTGGCTTGATTAATAAAATAGTAAAAACAATTAATTTTGAAATTAATGATTGAATATGTATATGAATATTTATATATTCATGTATTATATTTAAATGATTACGATTAAAAATAGTAAGCATAAAGAAATAAAATGATAAAATTCGCGATATGTAAGAATAAAACAATTTTTTTTCTCATAATGAATAGATCATTATTGAATAAATTTTGTATCTTTGTTTCGAAAAAAAATATTTTAAAAATTTCTTATTTTTATAAATTGATCCATACTCCATACGACAATCTATTCTTTCCAAGAAATGAATAAACCGAAAATTTTTCGTCGAATCGTAAAGTAATCTTTAAAATAAACTAAAAGATTAATAAAAAGATTGTAAATATTTTAATCGATGTGTTACTTCGATATCAGTATAACTCATATGCTCTAACTCAATGATTCTAATACCACGAAAAATATGGACCTATATGGAAGTATAATAAAGATAAGGAAAGAAAGATAAAGAGAATAGGAGAAACCAAAAAACACAAGGGGACAAGCTGAAATAAGATGATGAAGTGATATGCTTCATAATTTCCATATATATATTTCCATATAATTTCCATATAAGTTATTTAATTGTTTGATTAAATTGTTTATTTACAACTTATTCGTTGCTTGTATTATCCATTTTAATATTTCGTTTTTATATAAATGTTTTTCCATAATTTATGCGATAGCGCCGTCAGTTTAATTCTAAATTCAATGGTACCGTTACAAGGCACGATGTCAACGCAAAAAATAAACTGGTTTATAAGGATTACAGAGAATTTGCAATCAAAAAACAGCGGTTGATCGTGAAACTGAAAAAGTTAATAGGTTCGTGAAACAGTTCGAAAATAATTAAACTATTATTCGGTATTTTATTTTATTAATTTTTCCTATTGAAACGTAATCGTCCGATTATTTGAAAAAAAATCAACCGTTCGAAAAACGTATCGCTCAATTATTCGAATAATCGAGATTCTGCCGCACATAACTTTTGCAAACATCAACCAAACATTTATCTATTTTGATTTTATTTAATAATATATAATATATATAATAATTATTAATAAATAAAAAAAATTAACCATTATATATACAATTATATATAATACTTGCTAAAAAACAAATTCTTCGAAATCAAAATCTTATACCGTTATAACCAAAGCTAAAACTCGACCAAAGAAAATAATCTCACGTGATTCGATTTCGATTAATTCGATTCGATCATCTAGAAGCGAGTTCGAGTTATCGATAAATCCAATTAACGACACCCACCTTCCTCTCGAGATGGTGAGTTATTAAAAGTTGTCAGCCACCGATAACTCTCGGTCTACGTATCGAGATAGAACCGCAAAATCTTGAACCGACTTCTCTACCAAACGAACGAAAGAAGTTCTTCTCCATTGGTTTCACCACGCCTCCAGTTCTCGCATATGTATTTTTAGGTTAGACTATTTTCGAAAGTGCACGGAAGAAATAGGGGAGTGGGAAGAAAGAAAAGAGAAACAGAGAGAGAAAGAGAGAGAGAGAGAGAGCGGAGAGAAATAAAAGAGGAGGATAGAGAAAATGGGGAAGAATACCGATCGTTCCTTCCTTTTTTTCTTTCGCGGTATCTGCTGGCTCGTTTTCGCCTACAGTCACGTAAAAGAAGCCAGCACCGGTATTATCCGCACAATGCACACACAGAAGAAAAGACTCCGTGAGTGGAGCAAGAGGGGGGGAAGGGAGGGAAACCGAGATGGAATAGAAACGGGGCGAAGGTGAGCGTCGTTGGAGTAACAAAGATGGCGGAAAGAAGAGGTCGATGCCGCCTTCCTACTGATTTGCGAGATCACTCTCTCCCTCTTTCTTTCCATCCTTTTTCACTTCCTTTTTTTCCTTTCTATCCTCGTCTTTTTCCCTTGCAATCCCTCCTCACGACTTGTCACCCTGCCAGTCCCTCCTGTTTCTGGGTTTGCCGTTCATTGGAATGCGAGAGTAATCATTCCATCCTTCTTCATCGACCTCTTTCGCGACACGGCCGTAGCCAGAACCGACTGATTTTCTGTTCCATTGGTTTTGCCCCGATGCACGCGCCTATTTATCGCTACAATTATTGCCACGGATGCCTTTCCTTCCATCGACCATCGAAATACTCTACCTCTTCGTGGTTTCTCACGGTTCGCGTGCTTTGAGATTAACCTTCCATAAACGCACGTGACTTGCAAGTTTCTTATATGCATTTCGATGTATTTATCATTGTGTTAACACAAGTATTGTTTCATTTATGTTACATGTCAATCTTTAATTTTTATAAATAAATGATTAATAAATTTAATTAGATTAGAATTAAATTAATATTTTATATTATCAATCTCTTAATATATGGATTTTTAACTTTCATTTATCTTTCATCTTGAAATTATGAAATTAATTCATAAGATTAATAAATACTAATAAAGATAGAATCATTTCAATTGTTACTTCGAGTTGAATCTGTATCAGAAAGCTATGTTAAATTTGGATTAAGATTCGATTAGACGGGATACAGATGAGACTAAGGATTTTGAATTCGTATTAAGCATTCTGATGAGCTACGACATAAATTACAAATACATTCTCTTTCACATCAATAAAGCATCGAACATTATTTCTTCACTAGCGAGCTAAAATATTAAAACTTCATTTCCATGCTAAAAATATTTCGAGAAGAATTCGTTATTCTTTTTTCTTATTCTTAAATTCAAAACTCACCAAAAAAAATCCCTTCATCCAAGCAAGATCAAACGCGACACGCGTATCTCGTGAATTTAAGCCGTATCCTCAACATGAAAACCGCCGCATCACGCAAAGGGTTAAATAAACGGGTCTCCAAAAGGAAGCAACGAAGAGGAACTGAAATAACGCGAAACATTTTTACATTCGCGTCCTTTCCTCTTTCCAACCTATGCACGAGCATACGCGCTAACGAGCCAACCGTTCCATACGGTTCGTCGCAAAAAGCCTCTTAAGGTTGACAAATTTCAATTACGCGCGCTCACTCGCTTGCCACCATGCCGATTTATCTCGAGGCGTGCACGATTCCAGCGAAACCTGTCGTCAGCGAATTCCTACGGCGAACAAAGAAGTCGACCGGTCGAGATTTCCTCGCGACTTAACCGGCGCATAACTAAAAAGTAAAAGCGTCAAAGGATTCTGGCTCGATTACGTCTTCGCGTACAGCGGCACCTAAAGTCGCGTTTGTTTAAACGAACGCGAGGCACTGAGCATGCGCACTGCGCACAAAAACCATAAGCTCGTAACGGACATCGCTAGGGTGGGAAACGTGCGGGACGAGAAACATGGCGTGAAGATTACGCGTATATAATGATACACTGACGCAATAGAGGAAGTTTTCGTGTACGATTGCCGTTTGAACGTTTCACGTTTTTGTTAAAAACAAGAGACTAAAAGCAAGTAACTATTTAATCCATGATTAAATTCTCTCTTTTTTATTTCCTTTATCTAACAGTAATTATTATAACCACGTATAAAAATGAACTCGTCGAAATTATTTATATTATAAATATAAATCTTTTTCAAAGATAAAAAAAAAGGAAATACTATCGAAATTCGCAACAATCGAAGACGGTATCAATCGTAAAACGACTCATATGATAGCACTATACTCGAAACTACGATACGACATAGATCGAATCAAAAAGATATTTGCGTGCCGGACAATTTAAATAGCCAATAGCCTGCCTCGACCATACCCTCAGGCTACGAGAGAACATTTACTTATTTCGTAACTCGACCAACTGGATAATAACAATTTCCACGGATGCCGTGAGGTCTGGTAAACAAGCCGAGTTCTCCGTTCTAATTGTCAGCTTTTCTCCCGATTCCCAATTCGCAAACGTCACAGTTACGCGAACGATCGGCTGGTGCGTCGTCTTCCATGTTATCCAAGGGAAGAAAGAGGATCGGTTAATTGCACCATTCGTTCCAGCCTATTAATGAGAATCACTGCCGTGGAATGACATCTACTACCTACTTGTTTTCATTAGAGCCTTAGAAGTGCGCACGAACCGATGGCGTGTTTGTACAACTATGCCTCCTCTCGGCCAGCCCGGTATCGCGCATCCACGTAATTGAATCACGCTCGTCGCACGGCTAAACAGATCCGTTCTCGGTAAATGAGATTCCATGGAAATAAGCGGCCGGGATTGATCATGAATGAGAAACGGGCCAGGCGATCAGAAATTTTCGCGAAGAAATGAAATTGATTCAAATGGTTTCAGATTATAAGATGATTTGATGATTTGATTAACTCACCCACGAGATTAGATTTGCTTGAATTGAAAAACGTATGGAAAATCTATCGATGCACTTACCTGAAACAGAAAAGATTTGATTATTAGTATTTGTGTATGCGTGATACGATAATTTTATCGCATATATTAAGTTGATAAAATGATTTTAATGGTTTTTTTTTTTTGGAATTGAAATTTATCGGAACGTTTATAAGAATTTATTTATTCGATATATAATAGATCTCGTTGAGAATAATTTGAGACTTTGATTATTGGAATCAAATCGAGATGACGCATGATGCTGTTACTGAGAATGTTTAAGTAATCACTGCAGTTATCTTCTTGGAATTTTGTGTATTTTATCTCAAGTAATATTAATGAGTTTCGAATGGAAATAAAATGCGAGAGGAAAAAATTATCATAAAGGCAAATCATTTGTTTTATTTAAAAATTATTATATAATGAATTATTTAAAAAAATTAAACACAGATAATATATATATATATCTTTATTTCTACAAATATAAATTCTTCTTTCATTTTTAATAATAATCCATGTAAATAAGATAAATAAAATAATTTCTTCTAGAGAAGAAGTTAACATTTAGCACAAAGTGTTAGTTATTCGAAATATAATACGAAATATTGAGATATAATTTTTTAGATCTATTTGTTTTTTTTGTTTATATTTCTTAGTATCTTTAATGATTTCTTCTCTTTGTGAAATAGATACGATTGCTTGAAATAATCATATGCTTTTATATTTCCTTATCATATGTTGGATCAAAGATTATTTTCAAAAATTCTTCGAAATGAATTCTTACCATAATCCTTTTTACAACATGCTTCATTATACTCTCAAATGTTGCTCTACAATTTTTATTCTATAAAATAATAAATACGAGTACAATAAATAATTAAAAAAAAATTATAAATAAAAAATTTGCTAAGAAACAAGATAATTCACCGTATTTGTTAAACGGTTGATATAAACGGTGCAAGAACAACGAATTAACATCCGCAAACATCGTCGAAACAAGATACTAGTAGAGAACGTAACTTGTCGAAGTTGTTCTAAAGCCCAAGAATGGCGCGACCAATCCGTTCTCTCGTTATCGACGCTTTTTATGCCAGTCCGATAACGAAACTGCAGAGAGACACTTACGTCAGCACGGTGTACAACCAAGCCTTCGACGAACTTGCTTGATACAATGTCGATATCTTGTTCAAGTGCAATGTCGCCGCAAAATCTCATTTTCATCGTTGCGATCATTTTCATCGATCCTCGATTCAAAATCTTAGGATAAAGTTTCGATCCTTTTTCGTTTCGATCATTTTAACATACGATTTGGAATTTGAAGAATCGATTCTAAACAACAATGAAAGAAAAAGTTGATGATTCATTTTTATGATGCGATGTAATTTTTACTAGAAAACGTTTTTAAATAGGTAAAAATAATTGAATAAAAAAGAATATTTGAGAAAAAATAGAAGAGTTATAGCGAGATATCTGTTAAAATCAATTGTTAAGATTCAGATGTAGTAAGAATTATTAGAATTTGATCGTGATGTTTATTTTTTTAGTTTTTTTTTTTTTCTCGTTTAAAAATTAATTTATTTTCAACTTCTCAAGACCACTGATACATAAGTTTTATTTTTATTTTTACATTGCATAATTGACATTAACGTGCGTTTAAAAATACACGTATAGCAACGTGACTTTAAAACGTCCTCTGGAATTAGAATTAAAATGTAAAATTTACTTTTACCAAGGTCACAGATGTCGGAAAACAACCTGTGAATACAAACATGTTTACCATCGCGTGACTGATATCAGACACGTATTCGTCAGCGCATTGATAAACTACTGACAATGCGTTATTCCAACGAAAAGAGAATTAATATAATCTTCGTTTATAGTGAAAGTGTCTAATCGGATAGTGATTCAAACGAAGACTTCGAAGTATGCACTTACATTACTACCTATCACGTTTCATCGACAAAATGTTCAAAATAAATAAAAATTAAATTATAAAAAAGGACACTAAATCTCAATTCTCGTTCATTATACTAAAAATTATTTAATTTTTTTATTGGAATATCTACAATTTGGATAGCTCATCACTAAATTCTTTATCCAATTTCTTTTATAGCAATCCCAAGTAAAATTAACTTTCTATTCTCACTCGTAAGGGGCTCAACTCTGACTGACGGACTTGGTTGGACAATGTTTACAATTTCCAGGATGACTCCTTCAAACATTGAATCATCGATCTTCACATAACAACGTTTCAAAGTCGGGCGTGTATTTCGCGTGACGATGAAAAAAGAAAAAGGAGAAAAATGAGGGAAGGCGTTGGATACACCGGTGGCCTGGTTTCTTAGGATCATGAAAGGTGTTCTCCTCGGCTGGCGAGTGTAAACACTGTTGCTTGCTTGAATCTTCCTTAGTGCCGGGCTCTCGAGCGTCGTCTCTCGTCATCTCTCCTCTTTTCCCGCCGGTTTTCCTTCGCCCGGCTGCGGCGATCCTCCCCCTCCTCCTCTCTCTCCCCTCCCTCTCCCTTCCCTCTCCCTTCCCTCTCCCCCACGCCACGGTTTTACTCTGTTGAAAGGGCCAGCAACCATCGGTGAAAGAAAGTATTTTCGGTCGGAGGAGTATTTACACCAATATGAAACGAAAGGATACGTATTGTAAGTATTGTAATTAATGAAGAAGGATGCATTTTCGCGTACCTTTAACGGCTTCTTCGATTCGAAATTCATCCTAAACAATATCTTAGTTGAAGGAAAAAAATCGATATACAAAATTGAGAGAAAAAAATTCTTACATTTACAATTATTTTTTTTAATCGAATCGAAGAGTTAAAAGTTTAATGAGGAAAATATTCTCGCATAAGGAAAAGATTATTATAATTTTCCAAGAACTCGAGGTTAAAGATTGAATAATTACAATTGATTATTTCGAAATTGTTATCTATTAATAAAGATAAAAATTTTTTTACTATCTTTTTTCCCGATAGATTTAATTCACGTTATTAGATTTTTTTTTTAACACGTATCGTATTATCCAGGGAAAAATAAGTATTTATAAGACAAGAGTCTTAAATCCCAATGAAAATGTTACGTGGATGGAAATATTTAAGTTTAAGGGAAAAAATTGCGCTTGCCTGAATTTCTGACACTTTCGTTTTCTCTGGTGTTTAGTTTGTTTGAATAATATAACAAGAGTATATTCTTTTCGTCTAAGGAAAATGTTTGGAAAAAATCTTCTTCCAATGAAACATCTTTCGTCTAATTAAAATTTCATTTTTATCGATTACTTGTGCCACGGAAACCTCGTGTTCCTCTTATCTTTTAAAATTCACGTGAATAGTCTCGAATAAATCTCCAATAAAATCGAAGATAAATAGCAAACAAGTAAATAATTAACAAAAAATGAAATATTTAGAATCATCGTGTATTTCATTGTGAATAAATTTCGAAATATATCGATCTTTAAAAAATTCTTTTGGAATAAAATTTTTTTGCATCCTCTACGCGTTCCACCACGTAACAATGTCCGTGGACTGCTCGTTAAGGCCGCGATGTTAATTAACTTCGTCGAATAAACGAACGAGAATGTAGAATGAGAATCAGATCGCCTTTTCTCGAGTCGTTCGAATCTCTGTGAACGAACCACAGCGACGATCCATGTTTTTTCGACGATGGGCCGTAGGAATTGTGGCGTGTAATCGTTCAATCGTATCGGGTTATTGTTCTTACCAGTCGCGGTGATTTTTGCTTCGAAAAAATCGCAACGTTATATTATATAACGAAGTTCGAAGTATTGTTATGTAAATGAATTACGAAGCGAGAAAAGCGTGCTACGATTGCCGGTCGAACAAGTTTCAGACGCTTTTGTTCGTATACCGATTATATTTAACTTTATCGCGGAATTTGTTTTAGAGCGAGGCGGAAAGAGAAAAAATCCGATCGAAAATCGAACGATCGGTTGGAAACAATTTTTCAAAATTTCTCCTTTAACTT